AACAAGACCAACACCAACACCAACACCGACAACAACTGATGCAGGCTGGTGGCCCCATGTCGCTCAGCCAAACACCGCAAGCCCGCTTGTGGACGAGCGGATGCCGAAGCAGACTGCGGCCGGGTTCATGCATGTGTGTGTATATATGATTATGTAAGTTATATATGTGCACAGATGTTTTCTGGACAGAGTTTTGCTCGGGCTCCGGTGGTGGGAGGGGGTCCGTATGGTTTGACGGTTCTGACCAGATTGCGTCGCTTTCTCGCCGAAAAGATTCGTGAGGTTTGTGTTCGATGCCATTGGGAGAGGTCATAAGGGTGCCAGAAGTTGGTTACTGGGTCGCGTGTTAAGAGTAGTTACCCTACACTCAAAACACAAGCCGGACCTTATACAGTTCTATCCTTATGCCTGAGCTGCGCAGACCTACAGCCGCATGCTCTGGCTCCTCCAGCAGCAGCCCCTCTACCTGGCACAGCTGTCGCAGTACATCAGGGACGAGGCCAGGCCCTCGTATGCGCTTCCGGGTCTTCAGAGACCTGCCAAGGCAGGGCCCTAGATGATTAAGGGTTGCGCAGTTCAGGGTCTTGGTTTTGGGTTCAAGGTTTAGGATTTCGGGCTTCTAACTACGCATGTCGATGCACTAAGTCTGATTTAGTCAATTTAGTCACGAGAAGTAGCAGCAACAGCAACCATCCTCCTTAGGTGTCATACCGCTGAAACTCAAAGCGCTCTAGGATGACACGGACACGTTCCTTGGCACCATCCGCGCCCTTTATGGAGACACTGCAGATCCTAGGCGCCTCGGGTGCGTGGGAGGGGTAGGCATCGTTTCAGGTCTGCGAAGCCATGGCTATTTTTGGCGAGCCTAAAGCCTGCAGCTTGAGAAGAGCCCTCAGCTGCATCCTGAGGGGCACTTGAAAGCCAGAGGCACTCGAGCTTTAGCCCGAAAGCCTCCCTTAGCCTGGAGCCGCTATGGAGGTGCCAGCACCTGCTGAACTCCCTGCTGAAGATCATGATCTCCAAGGAAGCAGAGAATGCAGGCCAGGTAGCCGAGGGTTTTGGGGTCGGCTTAGAGGTTATAATGGAATTATAGTAATAATATGATAGTATGTTTATAGCATATTCTAGTATATTCTAGTATAGTATAGTATATTTTTTAGAGTATATTATAGTATATTCTCGTATAATATAGTATGTTATATTGGGGGTACAGGGGTTACCTGTGCGCTGAGTTACACTCTGAGACTTTAGAGGCCCTGCGATCTCGACCTCCAGGTCAAGAGCAGCAGTTCTTGAACAGCAAGGGGTCCTCGATGGCCTTCAAGGTCTTCTCACAGCAGGCCGATGGCTACTGGGAGAGTGGGTGGCCGGAGTTCGGGTAGATGTTTGTAGAGCGGGAGAGCAGCTATGCGGGCCTTGATCCGTATCTCCCGACTTTTGAACCCTAAACCCTGAACCCTGAACCCTAAACCCTAAACCCTAAGTCGATCCACCCCTCTGCTCGCAAGCCCCACGGTCTGCACCATGGAGGCGCTTCTCCAGGCCTTTGCCAAACAGGCCGGTCTGGGATAGGCCCTGGAGTCTGGACTTTGCTGCACCTGTCCCTACCCTGCGATGTTCAGAAACATGGGGAGGTTCACTCCAACCAAGTCCCCCCTCCCCCCTCTACCGCAAAGTGTTTGATAAAGGATGCAGGCGGAGCACAAAGCAAGACACAAGGTGCAGTTACACCCGAAGCAAGATCCCAATCATATCGACTAGTCGGCACCACCCATCAGAGCCATCCGCGAAGCAGAGATCCGTATCGCAGGTGATGCACCCTTTCCTCGGATCCAAGTCGAAAGATCTGCCGCAGGCCTCCTGCGTCTCAGCAAGCTGATTACAAAACGGCCCTTTCAGCCCCCGAAGCCTCTTTGCAGTACAACAATGGTACCAAAATGGTACACTAATAGTACAAGAATCGTACAGGAATCCATCCTGGAGCTCGTGGGCGCCATCTCCAGCAGCAGCTCCAACACCGGCTTCTGCCTGAGCTACGGCGACTTCAAGGAGGGAACCCCCCGGTGGTGGGTCGTGGTGCATGTTCATAGTCTACGTAGTACTACACCCTAAACCCTAAACCC